TTGTATGAACTGCAACAAGCATTACATTGGCCAAAGTGGGCGTCCCCTTCTAATTAGAATCCAAGAACACAAATCAGCCGTGAAAAGACACGATATTTATTCTATAGTATCAATGCATATATACAGTTATGGTCATCAATTTGATTGGGATAATGTCAAAATCTTAGACAGAGGAAACACGAAAAGTGCCAGAGAATTCCTAGAAGCCTGGTACTCAAGCGAAAATGCAATTAACAAGCACGTTAATATAGACGAAATATACCAACTAATGAAAAGTAAATCAGGTGACCAGAAAGTTTAAAATCCAAGTCAATAGAAAATGGTCAATACATATGTAAAGATGGTTACCAGGAGACGCAAATATATCACTCATGAAGAAATTTAAATCATTTCACTTTGTGCTAAATATTGCGCTGAAGATGTTGTCCAGAAGGACGACGAAAGCTTCGCAACTAAACCAACCAGTTCAGAGAACACTATTAATTGCAAATCATCCACCTGAGCTACAAATCTTCTCTATTATTTCAAGTATTGTTTAATGATGACGTTTTGGGCAGTAATTTTGGTACTCATAATCATATCAAGGCACATACAAATTTCCAACTTCTTCTACATACATGAGTTACAAAATGATTAGACATATGAATGAACAAGTAAAAGTTAATATAAAGTTCAATAGAAATAGGAAAATAAAGTACAGTCGGAGATGTTAATGCAATAAGATAATTAGATAATACTGTATAACACAGTGTGATTTTATCAAATAAATTTACTTTATGGTGAGAGAAGTTTGATTAGTTCTTAAAGCTTAGATAGTACGTTCTGCGCAGGACTTTTATATCAGTTGGCGACTATTCTTTTGATTAGAGGCCAATCGCGACCTCGAATAGCTCGGTGGTAGCGTCTCTGATTTCGTCACTGCGTGACGCCAGTTTGAATCACAGAAGGAACATGAAACCCTTTAAGGTAGCAGATACACCTTGCTGACTAGTGAGTGCCAACTAGCACGAAACCTAGGTCCAAGACTTCCTGCCGATTGCCTCCGACCATCTAATGGTGACAATTCTTTTTAGTGAATGTTAAATTATCAGATTTACAATGGATGTAAGGAAAACTCTCCAATTCAATACTGAACTTTGTGAGCGAAAATCTTTTCATCATTATTCATTGATATAACTGAATTCTCTATGGAATACTAAAGTACATTTAAATGAAACTTCCATGGAATAACAAAAACTGAAACAGGGTAAAACGAATCCATCTTTTTCTTTTAAGTATTATAGTCCACACATTCTCATTTTTTCCAACACATTTTCTCGATGGTAAACTAATCAAACTCATAAGAATCGCCTCATGAATAATTTGTAGATCGACTGAAAAATTCGACTTATATTAGGAATATACAATGAGAGATTTACTGTACAATAGAATGTGATTTTTTTCACTTATACAAATCCTCTGGAAATATAGACTGTTTGCTGAAAACTCCAGTTCCAAAAACGAAATAAGTATATAACCTAGATACTATGTAACGGAATAATTGTTTTGAAAATCCCTCTCTGAAAGATCTAATTCCGTTATTGATACTCATTTCGATATTTCAAATGACTTTGTAATTATTTTCCTCTTTCCTCCTAAGCTATACATCAATTTTTTAATGCCAGTATATCACCAGTTGACTTAATCTTTATTACTCTTCCTTCTTCTTGATTCATTTCTAATTTAAATGCTTCTCCTTGTGACTGTGTGACAATATTGGTAATGCCTTATTTTACTATTCTGATTTCGTTTGAATGAAGCCAAGGTGAGAATAACCCTGGAGTGTCTGTACAAATTGTTTGGTTCTTGATTCTCGCCAACAGAGTTTTGATCCTACCTTGTTAAGAATATTCTATTTGATTCTCAGGTACTTCTGACGATTGATTTAGATTAAACAATTTTGTTGTGCTGTACTTGTTTTGTACTCAAATAGCTATATAGCTGCCTAACGTCACTGTTGTGGCAATTTTGACTACTTGATATGTTATTACTGTTAAACATTATCATGGATTTTATCGCAAATAACTGTCTTTTTTCTGTCATCAGGGCATTTTGGGGTTGTTTACCAATAAAGGAAGTTTTGGTTACCTATACATTGGTAGAAAGCAGGGAATGGTTTTCAGCGTTCAGACTGCAACACATCAGTGTTGATCACTATATACTATGCTTCTGCAATCTTATTACTGAAACCTATACAACCATACGCAGCTTTTGTCTCAGGTCGGTACCGCTCCCTTGAGCTTTTGTTCATAGGATACAGCAGCTTTAACACTAGTTTTACTGATGGTAGCATTCAGTGACATTAAACACTTTAAGATAGAGTCAGGCATAGCCAGTTTTACCGCAAGCCAAAATGTCAGATAATGAGTACGTTATACATAAAAACAACCTTATTTGGTATTTAATCAAGGAGTAAAAAATACTCAGTATGGAACAAAGAAGGCTCTGTACAATGCATATTAAACTGTGAGCAACCACTTTCTTAAGTGGTTTATTTTTTTTTAATATTATTTTTTATTTATTTTGATTTACAGCTTGATTCCACACCGTATTTTCAGTACAAGTATGGAATTTTCAGCATGGATATCGGTAGCCCAAATTCAGGCCGACCATAGATATCGGGTGTGCACCGGCAGGGGATCGAACCCCGGACCATGTGCATGGTCGGCGAGAGTCCTAACCACTGTACCACCGACGCACGTTAACTAGAACTTTTCCTACATTTAGATTTATTTATGTCAGAATCTAAAGTCACATAATTCCAAGGTAAGTACATTGTTATCCTAAAACTGATAGTTATTACGCAAATTAATTATGTAAACCGAACAATAGAACAACGCATATTCCGGAAGAGTAAACGTATATCAAAGAAAGCCTGGAACAGTAAATTAGATATGTAACATAGTGGCTGAAGCTGCGGAAAACAGCAAATCCAAACTATTTAGAGTAAATCTGAATGTTAGACAAATAGACGCTGAAACTAATGATAGCAGGTTTAGATATAAATTTAATAACGTCAACAGAAAATTTCTATTCATCTCCCTGGTTTACAGCAGAAATCAAGAAATCAAGTTGAATTATGAAGTTTCTCAAGTACGAGATTTTACTTTGCGACAGCACTTAGGCCAGCATGAACCAATGCAGAGAGAAGAAATTTTCTTATGAGTCTTAACAAATTAGGAAAGCAAATTAACCCCTGTTAAGCTAAGAGCAACTTTTGTGAGAAGAAGGTGACCTACTAAATGCAATTCATTCATTGACTACCAAAGGTTCTCACAAGTAGCAGTTTCGGGTGTGAGTATACGGTTTAGAGCGTTATCTAAAACTAATAACTACAAATAAGCATCATTTAATCTCTCCTATTTACTTCACATGCTTTCATATTTATTCTTAAGAAATTCATATACACATTTTATACTTTGTTAAAGTGCATTGTGCATAACAATATAACGGATTCTAAAAATATCGTAAAAGCAACTGAGTAAACGTTAACTAAATATCTTTTTAAGCTCAAAAACATCTTCAAAATCGATGACCTAACTCATCTTTCCATTGTTTGTAAAAAGAAGGATAATATCCCGTCTAGTTTTCAGGATTATGACTAGGTGTAACTCAAAATATCCCGAAGTACAAGGTCAGTAAACGGGTAAGTCGAGGTGATTTGGCAACTACTTCGCTACTAAGGGGTACCACCGACAATTAAACATCTCACCCAACAGCTGTACGACAATGCTGCATGCCAAGTGATCCACAACGGGAAACTTACGGAATAGATCGAAGTGAGGACAGGATTGAGACAAGCTGGCTGCCTACTATCGCCAATGATTTTCCTGATTGCAGTAGATTCGATAGTGCGACAGACAGTGGTGGGGAATGAGGAAACAGGCATAAAATGTACTCACACGAAAATCTTGGAGGATCTGGACTTCGCCGATGATATATGTCTGATTTCCCACAAACTGGAAGATATGCAAGCGAAAAGCAACAAGTTAGCAGAAGAAGCATCAAAGATAGGACTTCAGGTGAACATAGAGAAAACAGAGGTGATGAAGATTTCTGGGCAACATAAACAGCAGCAGCAACAACAACAGACAACAATCAGCATAAATGGGAAGAACCTGAAAGAAACAACCTCCTTTACCTACCTGGAAAGCATCGTTTCAACTACAGGCGGAACTGACGAGGATATCAAAGCAAGAATCGGAAAAGCAAGACAAGCTTTCACTACTCTCAAGTCTGTGTGGAGGTCAACAGCACTCAGCATCAAAAATAAGATCCGGATTTTCAACTCCAATGTGAAGTCAGTCAGTGCTACTATACGGATCAGAGACTTGCACTGCGCGTCATAAAGAGCATCTCAAACAAACTACAGACCTTCACTAACAGTTGTCTTCGCTCAGTACTCAAGATCAGATGGCCGGCCAGAAAAGATCAGCAACAGAGATCTCTGGCAATGAGCGAACCAACCAGGAACCGATTGTGAAACAAATGTGCAGGAAGAAATGGAGATGGATTGGCTGGTCATTCTCTGAGGAAACCATCAAGTGACATCACTAGACAAGCCATTGCTCGAGTGGAACCCGACTGAATGGGAAGCGGCGAGATGGTCGTCAGTGCAAGGGTGACTTGGAGGAGGTCATGTGAAGAGGAGATGAAAACGTGTGGGCAGACATGGAGCCAGGTGAAGACTCTAGCAGAGAACCGAACGCAATGGAGACGCACGGCTGAAGCCCTATGTTCCTCTAGGAATTAAAGGAAACAATAATAATAATAAACGGATAAGTCAGATTATTTTAAAATAGAGTCCTTCAAGGACCTTTAAGATTAAAGTATATCGTATTTAAGAGATTAACAAAAGTCAGTTCAACTCCAGTTTACCATCGCAGTTTAAAACTGTCAAACTTAATCTGTATAGTTAATAAAAGAATTTCAATATGGTTTGAATGGTAAGCGAAACTAACCTGGAAAATAAATACCGTATAACTTTATTTAAAGTACCAGTACGTTAGGGTTATCCTACTGTTAACTGATGGTTTAGAAGGTTTAGGAGAGTACTTCCCAGGAAATGATGATCAGTTTAAGATAAATCCAATAATAATATTACTCATGTATATAATCAATCAATAAAAGTTAAATGAGTTCATCAGTAATCCATTTGATACGAATCTTCTTTGATATGAGAATCATTATTAATCAGCAAGAGAGATTCGATTTTTAAATATTCACTGAAATTTTTATCACGAAATACTTTTTTTCTCAACTTGTTTTAATTATTTTTTCCAAATCAAATTTTCTCACATGTTCTGTGTCTAAACAATATTCTCGGTAATCTATTTTGTGCACTACAAGTACTATCTTTACTTCTCATAGTTCAAAATCCAATTGCATTACAGATGATTATTATTCAATGTGACACATAGAAGGGGAAAGAAGTTACAAATAAACACAGACATACACACCCGAAAATGTCTTGTACAGAAGCAAATATCTTTCCACATTTTCATTGGTTAACATACCCTATATATATATATATATATATATATATCGGCAAACGTGGCTTTACACGCATACATCAAATTTCACACGTCTCTGTTGTTCAAAATCCACCCCGCAATTGTTATTCTAACAGTATGATGAAACTTTAAAATAGTAGATAACTTCAAATAATTAGTTTTACATTTTCATTGATGTAGAGCTTTTCCTTCAAGACTAAAAATTTCACTTTTAGATAGGTAGTAGATTTTTAAGCGTAAATACTATGATGCTAAATAAACCCATTAGGGTTGCTACATGTCAAGGCTTTTAATAACCTCAGGGTTGATTATAACATATTTTTCTTTAAACATGAAACACATGACAAAGAAAGCGGAAAAGGATTACTCACTATCTAATATAGAAATAGTTCAAAGAACTTTTAATGCTGGCGAACTACACGTATTATTCTCTACACGACCGATGGTGCTACCTCGACTGAAAGATGTAGTACCTAAACTAGTCACATCTAATTGTGTCTACCAATTCAACTGCGCTTGTGGAGCGAGTTATATTGGCCATTGCTCTAGGAACTTGATTTTTCGTGCTCGAGAACATATCCCACTATGGCTAAGTAAAGGTGTAGTTAAAACTATTAACAGCTCGATATTAGACCATCTGGTGCAAACCGGCCACAAAGCCAGAAAGGAAGAATCCTTCTCTATAATCTACAGGGTGCCTAATAAATTGCCAAAATCATCGAAGCACCCCATGCTCCAAACAGCAGAGGCTATTGCAATTCGCCTCAAACAACCAGTGCTCTGTGTTCAAAAGAAACAAGTCCAGCCCCTACTACTGCCCTGGCCTTCAGTAGAGACTATAAATTCATGAATTTGTAATATTATCTTTCCTAATTTTTCTGACATTCAGCTTATTTTATGTTGATGCTATTCAGCTGTAATCTATCAATATTATTGATCCGATGTCATTTAAACATTAATGTTGTTCATAACACTAATTCATTCATTCACTATAATGTATACATAACTGTAGAGCCTGATGATGAAGTTATCGAAAAGAGTACTCTTTGTTCAGTATCCATTTTTTTGAAAAATTCAAATATTGTCTTAATACCTATTGTGTCATGGACTGTGATATGTTCCGCGTACCTTGACAGAATGTTTCGACCTATAAGAAATTTTAACTCCTTAAACATGTTACTTTTTCGAAGAAATTCACATACATTGTAATGACTAAAACACCTAAGTATTTTGGTCTGAATGCAGGGAATGGGCCTATGTATTCTTCTGTATATCTGATCAAACTTCCACAAGTGATTCACAGTCCCAAAATGTCTCAACAATAGCATAAAGACAGATGTGGTACTTTTAAAACAATAATAGTAATATATATATAAAAGACGCAAAATTACCTCAGCAATGCCGTTAGGCAGCTATATAGTCCAAGGGTTTCTCACGTACAAAATAAGTATTATACAAAAAAGTTGGTTAATCAGAAAACAATCTTAAGGAATACCTGAGAATCAAATAGGATATTCTCAACAATGTGGGATCGAAACTCTGTCGGCAAGAATGGAAGACATTAAACAGGTTTGCTGGTCTAAGTCACAAGTCAGAATCGCTCCCCATGGCATAATTTTGAATTCATTCAAACAAGATCGCAATGGTAAATTAGCAGGTTACCATTAACAGTTCACTAATACCCAACAGTTAAATGAAACATTAAGGATTGGCATTAACCACAAACAAAGCCCAATAATAAGGACAAAACCAAAAGAATATGCGTACACGTCGGAACGATGGTATACAGCTCAAGGCAAAAAGGGATAATAATAATAATTACATAATTATATGAAACATCCAAATAAGCGTCGATATTGTAAGTGTATTGTCTAGGAAGAATCTACCGATCAATTATTCTGCTACACTCAGTACCTGAAATATCGTGTTGGTCAACGACAAGGCGATGACTAAGGAAGACAGTTATAATGCAGTTGCCAATGTATATTTCTGACCTCCTGATAGAAAGAAGAAGCAGGCGTAACAATCTTTTTTTCTAATTTTATCCACCTTAATATAATTGCTTCAGTAGAGATATTTCTAAAGAAACAACTAGGAAAGTTAGATTAATTGCGAACATTCAGTCTATCAGGGGAAATATTTTCTGGGTGCTGTTTTATCAAAACTGACTATGCATTGCACCATTATATTTCCATCAGATTTAAGCAATTATCTCTTAGCACAAGCTCAGAAATAGAAATAATTACTCATATGATAAACTACTAGCAGTAAAGTTTTGATTTTAACACACTAATGTTTTTATTATTTACTCAATAACTCATAATTATCTTTGTTTCTACTAATCAGATAACATCAAAGCAAAGAATATACAGCAGCTAGAAAAAACAGAATTAATTTTGCTAAAGAAAATACAATAATCTTTCATTTCTAATAAGAGAAACTCTTTGATGTAGATTAGAAATCCACTTAATTCCTCAATTTTCTGTCTGAAAAATATGGCTTAGCAGACAGAATATTATCAGTGCAAAAAACAATCCAGTCAACATGTTCTGTAAGAATACAAGCAATTCTGCAAAATCGTTTTAGTAGTATTTTAACAGTAGAAGACAGGAGACTTGGTGAAGGAGGGTTTATTTAGAATTTGATATCTCTATATAGCGTAATTATGTACACCTTATGTATCTTCAACGCACCATTTGCACATATCTTCCGTGTTGTGCTACTTCTTCCACCTTCATATTGTGTTTCTTTGTGTTCCTTTCACGTCTCTCATGTATCTCCACAACGTTGTATCATTTGCTTTCTCTGAAATCAAATGTGTCTCCTTGCTATTTGATGTTCTTATTCAGATGAACATCTCTTTATATACTACTGATAAATCTTTTCAGTAGCACACACCACAGTATGATCTCTTATATGCCTACACAAACTTTACAGGCACTTGTTTCTTAAACAAAACTATAAAAAGTTGATATACACATGTGAAATTTAATTGCGTTTACACCTGACTTTGATTTATTATGCAATAAACAATAATGAAAACTTTGAATATCTCCAGACGCACTCTTCCGAAAGCAGTTGTTTATCGAAAATAACATAGTATTCATAATTTTTTAATAATCTTGAAACTTTGTTCGATGGACGAACATTATTTTTGTCTCCTTTCAGCGTTTTGGTCATCGAGCTCATTTTATATTAACTGTCCGTGAACAGAAGTTTATATACCGTCATATAAGTCGCAATAAAATGACCTTACAATAGTTATTTATCTGAGGTAAATGCTATGAGCCGCTTTAAACTCTAGCAAGATGCAACAAAATTAGCATCGCTTTGATTCATTTTGTTTATTAATAAGTCACTTAAAAAGTAAAATTAAGGTTCTCTATCTTACAAAGATTTTCAAATTGTTGAAGTATGTAATGTATCTAATCTTCTGTGATAAAACTTTAATTTGTTTTTATTCCTTTGCGTTCCGAGCAGAACAGAGGGCTTCAAGCTGCGGCTTTGAAGTTTCGGTAGCGGTGGTGATGTTTTTACTAGGTCAGATTGTTGGTCTCATGCCTAACTTTTCCTCTTTGTCAGAGAAGTTAGATTTTGGAGTGCTTCGGTCGGGGACGAACACCCCGACCACATGTGTGATTGGCAATTATTCCACCGCTGCACCGACTACGCACAACAAAAAACCTTTAATTAATCTGTTAATATACTCAATAAATAAGTCCCCCATGCGGCTAAAACTGCAGCTCAATTTATGAATTCAGGCAAGCTTTCTGATTTCTACTCAGCTTACTTTCGGTGACTCAGACATTTCACAGTGACGACCTGAAGACTAATTTTCAACAGATAAGATGTTTCAGGAGTTAGTTTGTTTCTAAGTAAATTTTGTCAGATGTTTATTTTAAACAAGAGTACTGTTTCTTAAAAATTTATGGTAATTCCAAGAGAATTGAAATTGAACCTTGAAGTAAGTCGTTTTCTTAAGTTTGACTTCTTCTAAAATTTTCTGTTCAACTACCAACTGATGCTTATATATGCTGTTTCGTAAACAAAATTCTCCAGATGCAATCAGCTGAGTCAATAAATTTCATCTTAGGAACGACTAACTCTAACCAGGGGTAAATTTCTATTCTATATAAAAGCGTAACTAGTTATATATTTCAAGAAACCAAGTCGGTTAATTATTAACCTCTCCTCTATTAACTTCAGTTGTTTACAAAAGAACGGAAACTTCAAATAGCATTCCAAATTACTGCAGCATTTTGATAATATGTTACTGATATTAAAACATATATATATATGCATTTGTATATTTTAGTGAATCTGGAAAAAACCTCTCAGCTATAGATCAGCCATCTGTGCATAAGTATATCTATAAAATAATGATTTAATTAATTGTTAAATTTTTAAATTTAATCAAAATATTTCCCTTTCATATGGAATAACATCGCATTAATTCTCATAAGAGAAAGTCATTTTCTTTTGATAAGATAAGCTTAGAAAAACGACTTCCTTGGAAAAAAGCATTGCTGCCATGCATCCATGCTCACGTACATACTTGTCCCATGTTGTTTTTTTTTTTTTTTTTGAGAATGTTCAATTGATAAGAATAAAACAAAATAATAATTTATTGAATTAGGTTTTTTCTTTTCAAAATATTCCTTTCTTTCTGTTTACCCACATTTTTCTTCTTACATTTATTCCTTGTGTTGTTTCCTGTTTGTTAAATGAGTCACTGGTATTTATTTATTTATTTATTAATGGACAGTGTGATCTCTATTGACATTGGTACACGTATACACAGAGGATAATCATATAAGCCTTCATTTGCTTGCATGGTAATAGAAAGATACCGTTCCCCCCCCCTTGTGTTGCTGTGGTTCGTCTTCATC